CTCAGATAGAAAACGGGCGCAATTGTGGTGGCAGGCAGCAGGACCAGGCTGGCTATCAGAATGGCTTCGATCTCTGGAGGTGGCAAGCCTTGGTGTCCTTAGGAAAAAGAGGGACACTGCACACTACGGAACTATTCGATGTGTATTAACAGGTAGAGAAAAGAAAAAAAAACCTCTAGGTATATCTAACAGGGGCCCGACTTAAGCAAGCACAATGTAGAGTTAGGGCACCTCACTTAAAACCCAGACTGAGCCTGTTTGCGGAGGGTCCCTGGGGTAAAGGAGAGGATGGGCTGCGGGCAGGCCCTGCAAAACCGCATCGAGGGCACAGCTGAGGTTCCTCCGAGCCGCCAATGGACGAGGCGGCTATTTATCAAGGAGACAGCACATTTGGGAAACAGGTTCACTCAGGCTTTCCAGGAGTTACTCAACGCTGGCTCTGACAGTAGGAACCCTTAGGGACCAGCATGTCACCGTGGTCAACCAGTCAGATCAGCTAGGGACATCACACGAGAAATGGGGCTTTGGCCTCAATCCATCTCATCGCGGGCCGGAGTTCCACGGACCCCGACCTGTAACTTCTGAGTTCCGGAAAGCACAGTGAATGGCGCCCTGAAATACACAGCGAGCGCCGGCAGTGTAGGAAGGGCCCAGTAAATGCCCTGGGTGTGCCCCTTCCTACCAAAGTATTAAACCCAAACGACACGCCTGTGGAAACCGCAGAGGAACTACCTTTCGAAGACTTGTGAGACACAGGGACAGGGACTGTTATGACACTCTGATTCCGCTCGCCAATTTGGCCAGTGCAGAGAAGACAGGTCTCGAAGAATGTAGCTTATAGCAAATCCAATCAAGTGGTGACTACAATTGCAGATGCTGTTCCAGATACGGTCTCTTTACAGGTACAAATCAACACAGTATCTAGCACCTAAAATGCATCCATCAAGCTAAAAAAAAAAATTTTTTTTTTCCAAAATACTCAAAACAGACCACCAGAAGCTGTTTGCATCGAACAGTCCAGAAATACACTGTCGGCGTCATAGCTCACGGCTGCACCAGCGCCCCAGCAACCCTTCCCGGCCTAGTCCACAGGGACTTTGGCCACCTCGATGCCCTGCGGGCCCACTACACTGGTAGTCCCACTGGCAAGTCCTCTATCCCCACATTCCCACCTACTCTTGGTACTTACTATGCAGCTTTCTCACTTTTTGCCAACCTATTAGGTGAAAGAAGACATTGCATTACTGTTTTAATGTGCATGCCTAATTATTTAAAAATGTCAAACATCTCTATGCTTGTTACGATTCCTTATTCTGTAATCTTCTTCTTAACATCCTTTGCCTATTTTTCCACAGGGGTCAACCCCTCCTTTTATGAATCCCTGTGTATTAGGCACTGCTAATATGTTCTCTGCTTTCATCTGTCTTTTGCTGGATGAAAATCCTTCATTTTTTTAATTTTAAGATTTTATTTAGACAGGGGAAGGAAGGAAGGAAAAGGAGGAGGGAAACATCGATGTGCATATGCCACAACTGGGGACCTGGCCATGCGACCCCAGCCTGTGCCTTGCCTGGGAATCAAATCCGTGACATTCCGGTTCACAGGCCAGCGCTCAATCCACTGAGCCACACCAGCCAGGGCGAAAAATCCTTATGTTTTTATATTATCAAAATCACTACTTTTTCACTTTTATAAGTTTGTGAAGGTTTAAGAAGTCCTGTCCTTAGGTAAAGACCTTCTCCAGCACCGTCTTCTATTAATTTTACAGCTTTCCTTTAACATTCAGATCTTTAATTTACACAGAGTCCATCCTGTTAATGGTGTTAGGTTTATTTGTTTTCTGTACAGTGAGCCCCTTTCCCTAAAACATGACTCCCTTCCACAGTGATTTATGATGCCACCTACAAGTTCTGACTATATACAGGTCTCTTCTCTCTAATTTGTTCCCCAAGTCTATTTTTTTGTTCTTGCACTTAACGCTCATTTTTATTGCTACAGTCTTGAAACATTTTAACTTCTGATGTAAGTTCTGATAAGGCAAGCCCAGTCAAAGCAAATCTTTAAGACTGGTTTTAGTGATTTACAAGCTTTATCCTGTTTGCCATATAAATTTTAGATTTAGGTGACTGTCAGACAAACCAACTAGAATTTTGACAGCACTTTAATTTATCAAGTAAAATGGAGAAAACTGACATTCTTATAAGTAATCTTATCCCAAGGACATGAAGAGGACCTAAATAAATGGAAGGTGATTTATTTAGGTCCTCTTCTATCTCCTAATTAAAGTTTTAAAGTTTTATGTATTCTTGGGTTAATTCCTAGAGACTTTAGTTTTGCTGCTGTTACTTTATACAATATTTACCTCTGATTATCTTTACCAGTTGATTATTGCTAGTACAGTAAATGCTATTAACTTTTGTAGGTTGATCTTTAATCCAAAAACCCTGCTAAACTCTCACTAGTCCTAATAGTTTTTCTTTTGATTCTAATGGTTCTTCTAAAGTAAGTAATATTATCTGAAAATAATGAGTTTGTTTCCCTTCTCCTGATGCTTATTTTTTCCCCTTTATAGTGTTAGCCAGGACCTTTCTTACCATGTTAAACAGTAATAGTCATGGGGACATCCTTCTTTTATTATTGATCTTAAAGTGAATGTACCTAAAGTTTCTCCATTAAGTATTACTATTTGATGTAGGTTTTTAGTAATAACCTTTATATAGTTATCTTGTATTTTGAGCTGGCTCTTATTAATTTTATGATATCAAGATAATCATGATTTTTCTCCTTTAGCCTAATAATGAGATAAATTACATTAATAGAGAAATAAATGTTAAACCATGTTTACATTCCTGAAAGAAACACTACAGGTCATAATCCTTTTAACACGTTGTTGAATATGATAAGCTAGCATATTGTGTAAGATTTTCATATCTTTGCTAATAAGAGAAACATCTATAATTTCACTAATCTCATAAAATGACCTTGGCATCTCTCTCTTATTTTTTTCCTATTTCCCAAAACAACTTGTAAAAAGGAATTAAGTGTTATCTTAAAAGTTCAATGCAACTACTGGTGTGGCTCAGTTGGTTGGGGATCAGTCCCACAAAGCGAAGGGTCACCAGGTTCGGTTCCTAGTCAGGGCACATGCCTGGGTCGCAGGGTGGTCCCCCAGTTGGGGAGAGGACGAGAGGCAACCAATGAACACTTCTCTTCCACAACGTTTCTCTTCCTCTCTCCCTCTCTTCCCCTCTCTAAAAATAAATAATAAAATCTTAAAAAATAAAAAGAAATAAAAGTTCAATGTAACACGCTTAAAAATTATCTGGGTCTAGTGTGTTTTAAAGGGAAGGTCTTTACCATTTCAATTCATTAAATATTCATTAAGCAATTCAAGCTATCTTTTTCTTCTGATACCAACTACCAACTTTCACTGTTTATAGTTTTCTAAGAATTTATACATTTCATCGAGGCTTTCAAATTTATTAACCTATAAAAATTCATAAAATTATTTTTTAAATCTCATGTTCATGGTTATTTTCAATTTTTCATTTATTTTATTTGCATCGTTTTTCCTATCTTATTAGACATAGGTCTGGTCTAGCTTATTTATCTCCAAAGAACAATCTTTTGGTTTGGCAAATCTTCTGTTCCTTAATTTCACTAATTTCTGCTTTTTTTATGTTGTTATTTGAACTCTTCCAATGAACTCTGTTTAAGCACTACAGCAAGCTTCCTTCAGCATTCAGGTAAGTCACCCTGCCTCTCTGTCCAAGGTCTGGTTTCATCACACAGACTTCAACACAGAAAGTATACAATATAAATATTATTCCTATGTATGCATGAGGAAAAAATCAAATACAAATTTTACCAACCATACCCACATATGAACGTCTTTGATTAAAAGTATCTTGGAGGCAAGTAAGTAAGGTTATGTGCTGTTTTCACACACACACACACGAAGAGTAAGGCTGTGATTTTATATCTGAAACAAGGCAAACATTTTACTGCAATGCTAATTGGTCAATTACTGGTACAGTTTGGTAGAATTAGTTAACTAGAAATGAAATCTCCAGTTGCTTTTCATGCCATCCAAAACTTAGTTATTAACAGGAGAGAAAAACTTGCCTGCGACAGTCAATTTCCCTCTTCCTCCCCAAGAGAACCCACTGAAAGCAAAAGCAGATTTCTTTTCCTAGCTATGGAAGCATCCATCCTGGTTGGGGGCAGTTTCGGATTACAAAACAAATTTTGGTCTTCAATTTTTCTGCTTGCAATCGAGCATTAAGGCAAATCACTAAAATAAAGTCTAACACACCAAGAGAATTTTGGATTTGGAAACATGCTTAATGGCTTATTCGTATCAGTGTCGGCTTCTTTGAAAATAATTTTACAGGTTACTATCTTCAAAACGGATGTCACAGCTCCCACTGCATTGGTTTATCCAACAAACAACTCAGATACTTTCCTATTAGGATGAGAAGGTGGTCCCTGGAGAAGAGAGAGAACGAGTGTAGATATAGGTCAACTTTCTGATTCCTGACGTGTTTAACGTAGACTAGCTAAAAGCACAAGAAGGGAAGCTGCCAGATTTCTCTCTCTCGCTACAAAAAAAAAGACTGAAGGCCCCTCTCTATGGAAACTCAAGCCGCCTTATTTTCCTCTCACGTTTGAGGGTGAAACTTTAAGGGGGAGGTAGGGAGAAGAAAAGAGCGTCCTAATGTTGAGTGACAGCCAGCTGTGATAAGGATCGCGTCTGCAGAACTTGGGGCTGTGTGCTCACCGGGTGCTCCTCTAGGCCAGGTAACACAAGAAGACAGGGCCGCTCTGGCGCTGGCCGCAGACACCACACGGGGGGAGGGAGGCGGGGAGGGGAGAGGAGAGGAGGGAAGGGAAGACCTGGGCCTGGAACAAAGGAAGCGGGGCTGCTCCGAAAGGGGTGGATACGGCGTCCGGGTGGGGGAGGAGGAAAGCCAAGGCTGCTGGGGAAAGGCTGGACTCACAGAACTTGGAGGTGGAGGTGTTGATGTTGATGGTGGAGCTAGGGGTGGGGGCGGGGACCGCCTTGGCCACGGCGGCCGCCGCGTCGCAGCTCTTCAACATCATGATCACCCCATTGGACTCCGGCGGTGGCGGCGGTCCCAACGGGAGCCCTTCCTTGGGGCCTTTCCTGTCCACTGAGACCGCTGGCACCGCCAGCAGCTGCCCCCGCGGAGGCTCCCGGACAGGGGCTGGGATCGACGAAGGGGGTGGCGGGGGCTGCCGGAAGCCGTCCACAGCGGTCTCCCAGTTGTTGTGGTTCTGGTCATCCATCATCGCCTCGTAGCTGCCCCCCTCCTCCTCTTCCATGCTTTCCTCCATCCTGCTGGCCCCCAGCACTCGCCCGCCTCGCAGGCACCTGCCGCCCGTCTCAACCCCGGGCCGGGGGGCACCGCAGCCTCCTCGAGGTCACATCGCCGGGGGCCGGAAGGGCGCGGCGGGGAGGACAGCGGTGCGCCTGGCCTCGTACTCTCCGCCGGGCTGACTCCAGGAGACAGGGCTGACGGCGGTGGGCACTCCCGGGCTCTCGTCTGGGAGAGGCAACCGTAAAGCGGCAACGCCCCTCACGACATTTTACAGCTACTTCCAACAGGCAGTTGGAAAGGGCAGCTGGGGGAGCGGCCAAGAAAGCACGTGGTGCGAGGAACAAGTTGCGAGAGAGCAAAGCAAAAAGGGGCGGGAGCTGTGAGTCACCCCTACGCAATAGGCCCGCGGTTCGCCCCGCCTCGGCTGGCCCGGCGTAGAGAACCTAGGGGCCACGGGACCGAGTGAAGCTTAGTCGGCTCCGCCTGCGCCCTGGCCTCACGTAATAAGGGAGCAGGGCTGCGCACGCGCGTTCGCAGCGTCGTTGCCTGGACGAACCGGAATCTGGCCCGCTCCTAAAGCCGAAGACGAACTCCGGCCGACGGTCTGGTGGCACAGGCCATTCTATCGGGGGTGTTTTTCCTTTTGCTCATCCGATTGACCGGGGCTTCGCATCGCAGAGGCCTCGCAGCCCATCCTTGGCTTGAGGGCGGAGCTAGGGAGAAACGGCAACCCCCGAGTACCGCGTTGAAAACGTGTGGGCCCGCCTTTTTTGGGACTGCTCGCGGGCCTTCGCCCACACCCGACACCCCAACGCTCAAAACTGAGTGTAAAAACTGAAACTTAGCAGGGTAACTAATAATAATAATTCTTGTGATATATTCATGGATTTTTTTTTTTAAATTCCTACCTCCTCCTCCATACACTTAGGCCAGAAATTTTAAACTTTAAATACCGAGCTTCGTGCACCATTTCACAAATCTCACTACAAGTTTGAGATTGTGTAAGAGTTTTGAGGGGCAAAGAAGAAAGGTTACATAACTATTATAATTTTCATTCCTCTTCATTCTCGAAGCACAGCAATAACAGTAATACCGAAATCTATGTTATAATTGCTTATTGTGAAACTTGTTCTAGCTACTGGTGCTAAGAAGGAGTGTCTACAAAAACCTTTATTACATTCAAGGTAACAGGTAATGAATCTTTATTTCCAAAAATATATAATTAGTGTGAAGAATCACTTCAGCCTCTAGGAAATTGATGTACTTCAGTGTCCACACTTTTTTCAGCTTCTTTACATACATTTTCCCAATATATTCTGCACTATGCCTAATGGAACGTGTTTGCCAATAACTTAGAATGAGTTAATTTCAGACAATGCACCCTTTTATTAATTAAAGACATATTTTTTGAATCAGCACATGTTTTTAATTCTCTGGGAGTGTTTTGTTTTGGGAATACAAAATAAGGAGAAAAGAGACAATTGAGTGAAATGCTGAGGGGCAAAATGTGCAATTCTCTGCCCAGCAACAACAACGAAAAAGGATAAATGGAGGAAGAATTACCGTATTTGGCCATGTATAATGCGCACTTTTTTGCCTAAATTTTTTAGGGAAAAATAAGGATGCATATTATACATGGGTAGTGCTAATTCCATATCTATATAAATGCTTTAATTCTTTTACTTATGCTTATGTGTTAAAAGTGTAACTCTAGAAAGCAGTAATGATAACCACATGCAAAATAATACCCTGGAATACGATAATCAGTTTTGTTTCTAAGAATAAATAAATAATTGAATTAAAAAATTAAAACGAAAGATTTTTTTCCTGAAAGTTGGGCCCAAAATGTGGGTGTACGTTCTACATAGCAAAATACGGTAGTCTTTTTTTCAGACTAACAGCTGAGTTGGTCATTAATAGACTTCATAGGTAGGGTGGATGGGTGTGTGTGACTGGAAGTAAAGAGAAATTTTAAATAATAAAAGATTCAATACATAAGGAGGATGAAAGTCGTAAATGTGTCTCTATAACATTGGCACAAACACATAAAGCAAAAATTGGCAATACAAGGAAAAGAGAGAAATCTACCATCAGAGCAGATGATTTTAACACATTTCTCTAACAGATTTCAATGGGTTAATAGTACCCACCCACCATGAGATATGTTCATATCCTAACCCCTGGAACCTGTGAATGCTACTCTAAAACAGGGTCTTTGCAGATGCACTTAAAGATCTTGAGACAATTATTCTGGACTATCCAGGTGGATCATAAATCCAATGACAAGAAAGGCAGAGAGAGATCAGAGACAGAAGAGGAGAGAAAGAAGAGGTGGTGGCAATGTGACCACAGAGGAGAGACGAGTGGTGTAGCCACACACCCACCCAAATGATGACAGCCACTAAAAGCTGCAAAAAACAAAGAATGGGTTCTTCCCTAGAAACTAGTGAGAATGAAAGCCTCCTGATACCTTGACTTCAGACTTATAGCTTCCAGAATTTTCAAAGAATAAATTTCTGTCGCTCAAAGATACCCTTTTGTGGTAATGTGTTACAGCACCCACAGAAAACTAATGCTTAAATCAAGGAGACCAAAAAGTCTTTAAAGGACTGAGAAGATTTGAACAATAACACAATCACCAAGCTTGACTTGATTAATATATGTAGAATATTACACTCAATAATTGCAGATATATATATATTCCTTTCAAGAATATGTGAAACATTTATAAAAACTGAACATACTGAGTTACAAAGCAAGTCTCTCTACATGTCTCAGGATTGGTATCATAGCAACCACATTCTCTGACCACTATGTAGTTAAGTTAGAAATCAACCAAAGTCAGCCAGTAAACTCCCATATTTCTACTCTTCCAATCAACTCATGGCTCAGAAAACAATGAAAATAAGAAAACATTTGGAACTGGAGATTGGTACTATCACAGCCTCATACTCCCAAGGATTTTTACCCAGATTGCTGGTGAACGCTGAACCCTTCACAGGTGTACTGCTAAAATGATCCACAAAAGACATTCATTTTTGCTCTAATTGGTTAAATACACCATTATGGTGTCAGGATTCAGAACAAGTTACCCTAAGATCTGCCTTTGGGGTATGTGGATTATTTTGAGATAAAGCAACTGAGATCTCAGGGGCTCAAGAGAAACTTCTTTTAAAAATTTTTTTTATTTATTTTTAGAGAGAGGAGAAGGGAGGGAGAAAGAGAGGGAGAGGAACATCAATGTGTGGTTGCCCCTCGCTTGCCCCCAACCAGGGACTTGGCCTGCAACCCAGGTATGTGCTCTGACTGGGAACTGAACCAGCCACGCTTTGGTTTGCAGGCTGGCACTCAGTCCACTGAGCCACACCAGCCAGGGCTCAAGAGAAACTTCTGTTCCCTCCTTAAAATACCTAGAAGAATTTAAATTAGGGGTCTTGCCCATAATAAGAGTTATTAATCAGAAAAAACTGAACATCTGCTCTTCTTATCATTCTGCGTATGACCTTCCTCCACTCTGAAGCCACGAGGCACATTACTTCATCCTTAGCTCAGAATGCCATACACCTCATTTTAACTTCCTGTCCCTGGACCTCTCGTATGTGTGGTGTCTCTGACTCTCATGCATACATGTGTGATTAAATTTGGTTATTTTCTCTTCTTACTCTGCCTCATGTATACTTCATTAGTAAACCAGCTGAAAGAATATTGAATGATAGAGCCTCTACCACAATGGAAAAATCAAATGAGGATTGGGGCAAAGCAGTCACTGGCAGGGGACAACATGCTATAGATAAGAAGAAACCCAACCTACTGAAGGGAAACCAAATGGACATTTTGTTAACTAGTTGATTTTATAGACATTATGAGATTTTGTTATATTACACATAAAAGTATACTATGTTTTAATAGTTATTCTTTAAAACCTTTGATGATTTGTTCTGGTATGTGGAGATAGGGAACAACATTACCATTAATCATTGACTCAACATCACCAGACAGTTACAACACAGGTTAATAATTACTACAACTGTCCATAGTCACAGGTATTAATCTGTTTGGCTTTTTGGTTTGTTTCCTGTTTCCCTCAAGGCTGTGAGTTTCTCTAAAGCAGGATAAGTATATATGTAAGGTTGTATATGTAAAGAAAAGACTAATTCAAACATTAATAACAGACATCTAAGGAGTAATAGGATTTTGCAAGGATTTAATGGTTCTTGGTAGCTTTCGATGTTTTCTATGTTCTCTACAATGGGCATGCATTAGTTTTATAATCAGAAAAATATTCCAAACCTTATAGCTTAAAAAATGAACACAAACAACATTAAGGAAGTATAAATTGGAATTCTGTATGTTCAAGTGTTTGTTTTGGCTTCCAAAACCAGAAATCTCACGTAAAAATGGCTTTGAAATCGAGGCTATTCATTGGCTCACTAGTGAGACCTAGGAAGGGCAAAGGGAGAGGAAGTTCAGTCGGGACTCCAGCTCAGTGCTCGGCCAGGCTCCTTGCCCTGATGCCTCCTTGGCACGGACCACGCTCAGGCCGCCAGCCCCAGGCCTTGCGTGCGGAGGCAGTGGTGTTGAGATGAAGCGGGCCCATGACTTCTGGTGGCTCTCTATTAGGACCGCACAAGTTCCTTCCCAAAAGCTCTCAGTGAACTTCCTCTCCCTGTCTCATTGGCCCATTCCTGAACCAGTATTTCAACCTGTGTTCCAGAGCCCTTTCTGGGAGAGTTTGAATTTATTCCAATAAAGCCTACCTACCCCTGGAAATCAGAGTAGGATCAGCTTCTCCCTCAAGCACGTTAGCTGAGAAGGGAAGATACAAGAACAGAAACTGGGGTCAAGTTGGGAGGTTTACATGAGTGCTGTGTAGGCAACAATGCCCACTAGAAGCCCAAGTACCCAATCCGTTGGAGCCCACCTCTGGCAACCTCATCCCAACCTCTCCACTCCCTCTCCTTCATAACTACCTCCCTAATCAACGCATTTATTCAAAACTATGCATTGAATGATTAGATCAAGAAAGACGTAACTTGTGTTTATTTAATTACAAAAATGTATATATGGTTAATTGTCAAAAAATAGTTAAAACTTTAGGTGGGGGTATGGGCACAGAGACTCTGTCACTAAGAATTCGTCTTTGTATAGCTTTAAATACCTTAATGTCACCTTTCCCACAGAATGTTTCATTGCAATTCTTCAGTATTTTTAAATGAACAAATGCATGACTAACTTAAATCTACCTTAAGTCTCATTCCACATCAACAGTCCTTTTTTCTTTCATCAAGTGTTAAAGCATAACCTG